GGGGTCGGGGCAGCCGCCGCTCAACCTACATCCACGTAAGCGGCCTTGTATGCAAGAGGTTTTCAACAGGGGGAGTCTTGTAAGGAAGAAGATAAATTATCATTTAAAAATGAATTAATTTTTTTCTTTGTTTCTTTCTGTAAAAACAAAAGTGAAATGAAGAAAAATAAAATAAACAATATTTGCCTGAGCATTAAATCCAAATTCCTTACCAAATTTGAAATAAAAATAAAATACGGAAAATAAAACTAATAAGAAAAAATGAAAAAATGAAAAGAGAATTAAAATTAACGAGGGAGCGAGCGAGCACCTTTTCGACACCGCCATCTTTGGTGGTTTTTCATTTTTTTCTGGCATAGCCAAATGCCCTGAAAATTTACAGATGTGTACTTCACATAATACAAAACGCATTAAAAAAAGTTTCAAAAAATAATAAAACTGTTTAGGCCCCGCAATAAATTGAAAACGAAAAGTAAAAAGTGAAAAAAAAATAAAAAAATAGTGAGTGGGCAAGCACGTTTCGACACCGCCATCTTTGGCGATTTTTAATTCTCATTTGGCTGAGCCAAATGGCTTCAAAATTTATAGGCATGTACCTCACATCATAGAGAACTCAGAAAAAAAAACTTCACAAAAAAGACCTTATTTTTAGGCCCCGAAATAATTTTTGGCGGGGGTCAAACGCCTTCGGGTTCGGACCCCGAACGGGGCCCTGAACGCGTGTACATACGGAGGTCGGCCCGGGGACCTCCATACGTACGGGCTGGTGAGCTTATATGATGAGATATATACGATATATATACATATATATATCGTCATATATATACAGGGTAACCGGCGTTCGGGACGGGCCGAACGCCCGAACCCGAACGCCCGAACGTATGGGACCCCTTGGGGATGCGTTCGGCCGTTCGGGCCGAACGSGGACCCAAAAAAAAAAAAAAAAAAACTCAGCAAAAAAATCTGAAAAAAAGATATGTTATGGAGAAAAGTAAATTAAACAAGATTTACCTGAGCATTACATCCGAATTCCTTACCAAATTTGAAATAAAAATAAAATACGGAAAACAACTACTAATAATCAACATAAATAAAAATAAAAAGAGAATTAAATTTAGTGAGTGCGCGAGCATGTTGTCGACACCGCCATCTTTGGCGATTTTTCATTTTTTTTTTGACATAGCTAAATGCCCTGAAAATTTACAGCTGTGTACTTCACATCATACAAAACCCACTAAAAAAGTTTCAAAAAATAATAAAATTGTTTAGACCCCGAACTAAAGTGAAAACAAAAAGTAAAAAGTGAAAAAATACGTGGGCGAGCACGTTTTGACACCGCCATCTTTGGCGATTTGTAATTCTTATTTGGCTTAGCCAAATGACTTGAAAATTTACAGGCATGTACCTCAGGTCATAGAGAACTCACAAAAAAAAAAATCAGAAAAAAATGATTATTTTTAGGCCCCGAAATAATTTTTGGCGGGGGGCCGAACGCCGTCGGGTTCGGACCCCGTATGGGACCCCGAACGCCCGTTCGTACGGAGGTCTGCCCGGGGACCTCCGTACATACGGGCTGGTGACCCTGTATATATATATACCGACGAAACAGTTTGTCACAGCCCCTCGTTTGTTGTCCTCTTCTCTCTCTCTGCCTACGGTTTACCGGGCAGTTCTGTTTGTGACGATATATAGTCAAACAGAGCTGGCCGGCAAACCATAGGCAGAGAGGGAGAAGAGGACAACAAACCAGAGGGGCTGTGACAAACTGTTTCGTCGGACGTTCGCAGACTCATGCGAAGGCTATATTTTACGATTTATTTAGCTTCAAGTTCTTCAACCCTGAATCAAAGGCCAAGTGAAATGTATTTCTCTTCTTTTTCGTTTCTTTTCTTTTTTTGTGTGTGTGTGCGTTTTAATTTTTTAACTTTTTTGACTCGTAATTTTCAATCTTTTCTGGCGGATTCCGAGTAAACGCAGCACAACCGTTTTTTAACTGTGGTTTCAGCGAAGGTTGAAATTTTTAAATCATTTTTAAATCATTTTTAAATCATTTTTAAATCATTTTTAAATTTAAACAAAGCCAGTACTTCTCTTTTTATTCCGTCTGAAATGATGAAGATACCAAATTTTTAAATTACCACTGAGTTCAGTTTCAAGAGAGGGAAAAAAAAAAAAAAAATCTTTGAAGTTTATTTTTAACTTTTCACTTTTTCTGAACTTTTTTCTTTTTTTTCCTGCTGACAAATGGATCACATTGTCGAGTTTTTGGGTCCGACGCATTGTTGATCTCTGAGCATCTCCGGAGATGCTTAGTTTGGTCAACAGCGACGGTGGGTTGGTGGCAAGACGGTGTCTGACGAAGAGGTGCTGAAGGTGGTGAAACCCCCTGATGAGGGCCGCGTGGCTGCGGTCGAAACCGGTCGGGGAGCCATATCCCAACCGGCATGCGCTCACATTTGTACTTGTGTATCTCGGTACCATGTACGGGATTATACATCAGTCTTTTTGATATGCGCTTTGAGTGTAACGCTTTGAGTGTGTGATCTTAAACTGTTTATTTTTCTTCTCCTATTTCATGCAACTTTCCTCCCTTCCTTTTTCTTTTCTTTTTTTTCTTTTTTTTTTTCTTTTTTTTTTTGAACAGTTTTTTTCTGGATAACTGTTTGTATCTGGATTCGAACTTGGGTCTGCATTTCAACAGTTCGTGGGGGGGGGACCAGTCAACACCACTGAGCTATGCCCATTGGTTCGCTTCCCTTTTCTTTCATTTCTTTTCTTTTTCCTTTTCCGCATCTTTTTTCGTTTCGTAATAATTGAGCTGGTTTTTTTTTTTCCCTTTTCCCTTTTTTCTTTGTTTTCTTTCTTTTTCTCTTTTTTTAACCGAACCGTTTTTCATTTGGTGCTTATTCATCCTGTTTTACCCCCCCCCCCCTTCCTCCTCCCCTCTCTTGCCAATATGCCGATATGTTCACATGTGCATCACAGCCGACTCGTACTCAGCTCATCACCTCCCCCTCCCCTAAAAAAAAACAGTAATAAACTCAAAAAAAAAAAAAGTTCAAAAAACTCTTCCAGTGATGCACATGTGAACATATCTTTATTTGAATTTATTGATAAAACAGGATGGGGGTGTTGAATTCCAGTGAAAAAAAGTTTATTACTGGATTTTTTATTACTGGATGCACATGCCGATGGTGTCCTGGAAGAGTTTTTTTAATCTTTATTTGGATTTATTGAATTTTATAATTTTTATTTGAATTTATTTTCTGGATTGTTTTTTCCATCTCTGACAAATTTGACATCTCTTGCAATACATAGGATAGGAAAGAGATGTTAAAAAAAAAAAAAAAAAAAAAAAAAAAAAAAAAAAAAAAAAAAAAGAAGGGGAAGAGATGTTAATCTGGTCATCATCCTTTCAAGCCGAAGATTTCGACGGAGGGAAAGAGAGGGAAAAAGAAAAACTGCACCCGACCTCTACTACGATCTGGACTTCAAAAATAAGTAATTAAAATAATGAATTAACACAATAGGTCAACCACCGCGGGCCCAACCACAAAGGCGCAGCCTGCGAAAACGACTTCAACCGCTGCACACACAGTAATGACCATTTCGTCAAAATGGACTTCTTTGTTTTTTTGAATGAAATTGAAACCGAGTTTTTTGGCCCAAAATTACAAACGCCGGACCCTCAGGAACAGCAAATTTTGACGAGTTTTGGGCCAAAAAAAACGGTTTCAATTTCGTTCAAAAAATAAAAGATGTCCATTTTGACGAAATGGCAGTTCAGTTTCCTTGTCCCGGGGGTCTTGCAGGAGTGTTACGTGAGACCCGCCCTTTGTCTTTTTTTTTCTCTCCCGAGTCCCAACCCATTTTCGCCTCAGTAAGAGTTATAACTTATAATGATAGATTCCTTGTCCTCCTTCCTTTTTTTGGGGGAAAAATATATGCAGGACAGGTGTCGAGGCCATCGGGCAAAAAATAGTACATTATTTTTTTTGCCTTTGTGGGTGCAGGATAGGCGTCGACAGCCGAACTTTGTCGGATGCTTTGGAGAAAGGTGTCGAGGCGATCGGGTTTTCTCTGGGAAACGTACGGTTGCTTGTCCCAGTGGGGCTGATGCTTCTTGGATGCTTCTCCCAGTCGGAAACGGCGGAGAAAGGACTTCACCTGCAGGTATGCATGCGGAAGTGCGAAGCGGGTATATGGATGAACCTGGTCAGTTTCATGACTACATTCCTTCTTGCGAACGGATGAAAGGTTTCTAAGTTCTAACAGATGTCCCGCCGAAGGACGAGTTCTGCTGAGTTTGATTTGCTTTCGTTTGTTTTCTATTTTTCAAATTTTTACTTTTGGTTCTCTATCTGTATGTGCTGATGTGTGTGATAAGTACCCTCTTCACCCGGAATAGAACAGCTGATTGAGGGTAGGGCATAGACATGCGTAGCTAGTGAGAGACACATTGAGAGAAGAAAGATAATAGGGTAGGAAAAATACAACTGTCCCCCATATGAGGAGAAGGCAGCTGTATCTTTTGCTATTAAAAAAAAAGAAAGAACAGCTGCCTGGGGATGACAAAGAGTTGGTCGTTGGGGGGATTCAGGAGGGGTAAATAAAATCAATGTTTTCATTGTTTTACTAGGCTACCGAACCCGCCCGGCCGGGCGACCCGGGCCCGGGCATCCCGGGCCTCCTGCATGGGGTGCCCCGGGCGAGTGTTTTTCGGCCCCGAATTTTTTTTATTTTTTTTTTTTGTCCGGGGAAGCATTTCTGCGCCCACCGAGTACTGTTCAAATCCGCATCAATTTTGTTTTTTGGGTAGTGTCATGCAGGGGAGGGGGGGGGRGGGGGAGGGGGGGGGGGRGGCTGGGCCAAGRGGGGGGTTAGCTTGCTTCAGTGCAGCCCCACGACTCCAAACTTTTCCTTTTTTTTTTTCCTGCCAATCAGTTAGGCAACGAAGAAAGGTGGAGGAGGAGAAAGAAAGGAGGACGAGGAAGAAAGATGTTCATCCTCTTTCTTCTTCCTCCTCCTCCTCCTTTCCTCCTCGTCCTTCTTTGCTCCTCCTCCGACTTTCCCTTCCTCGTCATCAATCACCCCATGTGGGCCCATCATCCTCCCCCGAAAGTGGCCCTTCCTCGCCACGTGGCCGCCCCCCTCCCCCCAAGATCTCCCGTCGATCGAACAAAGCCGGCTATCTGGGCCCATCACCCTCCCAATACACCGGCAAACACAAACCCGAAGTTGGGAACGTGAAAAAACAACAACAACAACAACAACAACAACAACAACAACAACAACGAAGAAAGGTGGAGAAGGAGAACAAGAGAAGAAGAAAGAAAGGAGGAGGACGAGGAGGAGAAGGAAGAAAGAGGTTCACCTCCTCTGAAGGAGGAGGAGAAGGAGGAGGGGAAGGAGAAGGAGATGGTCGACGGAGGAGGAGCAGGAGAAGGAGATGGACGACGGAGGAGGAGGAGGAGGAGGAGGAAGAGGAGGAGGAGGAGGAGGAGATGGTCGACAAGGGAGGAGGGGCTCACCTTCTCGCGATGGAGACCACGACGAGGAGAAGCGGTGGCGCAGCGGCAGCCCGCGATGACGAGGCGCGGCGTTCAAAGGAGTGGCGGCTACAAGACAGGCAGACGCTCCGAGCCCGTAGTGTTGCCGCCTGAGCGCGACATTGAATTCGAACCGCGGGGGCGGGATTCGAATTCAAACTGTGTTCGGGCCCAGGCCGTTGATCGTCACTGATCAACGGCGGACGTTTGAAGCCGAAAAAAAAAGGGGTCTGCTTGGCCCCGATTTCTTTTTTCGACGCCGCCTTACAATCCGTGCTCGCCTCGGTCCCCCTGGGGCTTTACTGGGCGAAAATAACACCACGCTTGATTTTGCGCTGGAGGGCCCGGGGTTTCGACCGGGCGGGCCGCCCAGCCGGGCGTTCCGGGCGGTTACCGGGCGAGGGAGGGGGGAGCCGGGCGGCCCGGCTGGTAGCCTAGTTGTTTTACCAAAAAAAAAAAGCGCCTGTTTGATGATGTGTCTGTTTTTCTGGCATACAAGAAAAGGGACAGAAGGTCGCACTGGCAAAGGCGGAAGGGAATCCAGGAGGGGTAAATTTGAGAAGTGTTACACTGTTACATGCACAGATATGCAATGTACGTAATAACCGAGGAACTGCAGTGTGATGAAAAGGACTGAATGGACAATACAGTGCGAGTAGAATCTCGACAGACAATGTGCATTCTCATACATACAAAAGGTGCTGAATAGCGCAGGGAAGACTTTGATACAAAGACTGATCTGACAGGACTGACCTCTTTCACGTAGTTCAGAGTAACGAAGTAGAACGCTAGAGTACTACTAACTAGCCCAATCAATGTTTGAACTCAGACTTAAACATGCATTGTATCCATCACAAGTGTGAAGGAGCCTGGCGCTGCACACAAGAAGGAAGCGCCAGGTCCAGATATACACAGATGAAGAGATAAGGATCAGACGAAAGGAGGGAGGAAGATGGGGATGTCGTTAACACCAAGTCTTGGTCACCAATCCCAAATAGTCCCTCGTTGCCATGTCTGAACCCCCGAAAGTCGAGTCTGGATCAAATGTCACCAAGCTCCGTATCTCTTCTCTCATAGTCTGCAGATGCAGTGAAGTCAGAAGTGAGAGGGAGAGAAGAGATGGTGGACTGAGAAGAAGAAGAAGAAGAAGAGCCCTCTCTCTCTCTGTTACGAACCAGATACTAACCTGTGGTGTTGGCGCTGTGCTGCAGGTACCTTGAAGGCGAAGCTGGAGCAACGGCCCTGCAGGTAGGTACTTCTGGCCTCCGCCCAAGCTCTCTCTCTCCCTCTCTCTAGTACTACCCAGCTATGGCGCCCAGCGCTGGAGACTACAGCTACCTACTGCGCCCAGCGCTGAAGACTACTAGCTAACGCTACAACTACTACTACGCAGCGCTCCCTCCAGAGTGCTGCTCCCGAATCCTGAAGACTACAACTGACCGACTGCCTGCCTCGGAAGTGCCTGGGAAGTCCTATGTACTACCTCGGCCTGCCTCCTGACTACTGGAGGCCAGTCAGGCCGAGGAGGCAGCTCTTGCCAATGCCGAAGTGTGCCAGGGGCTGGCGTGCAGCAGCCTGCTTGAGGCTGGCGTGGGAAACAGACTAATAATAGTCTGTTTCCGAAACCCTGGTTCGGTGCCTGAGTTTCAGGGCCGGTCGTTCTGATGAACGACCGAAAATGGCCCTTCGATTCAGGCGATAAAGGCTGTTGCCATTTTTAGTCTGAAACGACCAGGGATAGGCCCTGGACTTCAGGCTTTCGGGCTGAGCCGACAGGGGGCCTGTAAGCCCTGGATTTCAGGCTTTCGGCCTGAAATTCAGGCTTTTGGCCTGAACACCGTCGGGCCTGCAAAATGGCCCGTGTGTGCACGTGCTGCTTAGGAACCTCATCGTGAAACGTGCGGACAACAGAAAAAGGGCACCCGGGCAGAGCAGGGAATTCCAAGGCGGGAGACTCCCAATGGTATCCAGTCCCTCCCTCAGCGAACACCCTCCTCCCCCCCGCCCCCCCCCCAACTGTGTATGTTGTAAGCAC